AAATGAGTCTCTGGAGGGTTGGAGGAAGGCTTTGAGACCACTAGATTGAAGGCTGAATCCTGAAGAGGAGGCTTTCGTCCCTGACATGGAGGCTTTGGACGCTAGAGTTTGGACCTGAAGATGTGCCTTTGGACTCTATAAAGAAGCCTTTGAACTCTACAAATGAGGCTTTGGACCTTCCAGATTAGACTTGAGGCCTTCAAAGTAATGCTCTAGGCCCTTCAGATGAGTCTTGAGACTTCAAGAGCAGTGTCAGAACTTAGAAATGAGAATTTGTGCCCAAACAAGGAGGATTTGGACTCTTGGGTAACAGTTGGACACAGTGATCCAAGAGGTCTTTTCCAACCACAGTGGTTCAGTGATTCCATGATGTCAAACCAATGTGACTTGAAGTAGCTGTTACTGTAGTTACTGTTGCTATGATGTTTGTATACATAGACTTAGATCCAGCAGAGCTGCAGATGCTTCAAACGATGCACAGATTTTGAAAAACTGTTGTAAATATCTATTCATAAGCTACTGTGTCTTTCCACTGGATTTTCATTTTGTTCAGCTTTCGTGCTTGTATTTTTTAGGATAAGTATGAGTTTGTTTGAGGTGAATAGACAGTAGTTGGTACTGACAGTAGCTCAGACTTCTGAAATCAGCTAAGGAGTAAACCATGTTCACTGACTAAAGTAGTGCTCCACTCAGTCAGGATTGTCCCATTACATCTCCTGCCCTTTTGTGATATTAGTTTGGTACCCCTGGGGCCTGTAGAAATTAGGATTTATGAGCATTAAAGCTGTGTGCCAACACTGCTTCCTCCACTCCCAATCTGAGGTTGGGAACTAGAAAAATTTTTGTGCAGTAGCACATTCAGAATAGCCCTGGTGAATGAAGTTGTTCAGGAAGGGACTGGTACATAATCGTGGCTTGAGGAGATGTGCTGGTTTAAAGGTAAACTAGCAGGGGAAATGAACCCAACTCAAAAGAGAGATTATAAATCAGAATAACAATTTAATAAAATAATACAATAAGTATGATTATACAGACAAACAATTGGTTTTAACCCACAAAACCCAAATGTATAACCCAGCACCCTGGGGCATGAACAGAGTGGTGTTCTTTGGGCGCCCTGAGTCCAAAGGAAAAGGAGAGGGGAAAACCTGTTGGTGAGAGTGCTGTTGCAGTCTGGTCAAGAGTGGTGGTTGCAGTCCAGTCGAGAGTGGTGGTCTGCAGTCTTCCTCTGGATCCCACGAATGGTTCCAGAAGTTCCAAGACTCCAAGATTATATATTCTCCAGTTCAGGCAGGAATGCTCAGTGCTTTGCTCAGGGTGGGGAGTTCCACAAAAGAGTGTGAGGACAGGGAGGCACCCTCCTATCTCAGGCCTCTTAACACCCAGTTTATAGCCTGAGGAATCAGGCTGCTCTGGGCAGAAGGTGTAAATGGTCTATTGATAGCAGTTTCTGGGAAATGGCATGGAAGGGTATAGAATACACAGTTTTGGGTTACACCCATCCAGTGATGAACTGGTCCCAGCTGTTGAAACTAGGACAGGAGATTGGGATCTGAGCAGTTTGCTCTGATTTTGCTGGAGGAATAAGTCTGCTAGACTTATTTTTTGCTATGTCTTTTGTATTTCACCTCAGAAGATCTGTTTGCATCACTGAGATGTGTGGTATCCTTGTAAGCCTTCTGGAAGGATTAATGATTCCTGTATGGGGAGATGGTAGTGCCAGGGAACCTGGGATGGAGAAAATGCAGAGCTGGTGGCACAGGAGCAGTAGAGGGAGAGTGCTCTACTGCTGACAAGGTAGGTTTGTGTTGCATGTGCAGGCAGAGGGAAAGGGTTTTCAAACACGTGCTGAAATTGAAGAATAAGAAAATCACAAGTTAGGATAGGATTAGAATGCCAGCTTTAAAGACAGTGTAAAGCATGATCCTTTGCTGAAATGTCCTGGCAAGAACAAGGAAGCGTGCATGTTCAAAAGTGTAGTTGGTCAGTGGTGCATTACCTGCCTGACATGGTCAGGAATCCAGACACAGTGCCTTTCAGCTCTGATAGGCAGGTAGGATATTTTGTCTTTTTTCCTTTTTTTTGGTCTGTGTGTATGCCAATAGGTTGTATGGCTTACTTTGTGGGGGGAAGGTGTTTGGTTGTTTTAGCAGGATCTGCATTTGATGGTAGCTCGTTCATAATGCCTGCATAACTCTTTCACAGTGCCTTTAATCAGTATATTTTGCAGACAGAAAACGGAGGTACATTTCCATGTATTCTGCTTTCTCTTGCTTTGTCACTAAGCCTGCATTATTCTGGAGCATAAAACTATGCTACGTCTTCCACTGTGCCTAAGCTAGATGGAACAGGCCATTAGTACTTGCTACAGTACGGCTGCGATGAGCGAGTTCCAGCTTCTGGTTTGGTTTGGGAAGTTACCCTGTGTTACCTAGCTTGAAGTGCTGATGATGTGGAGAACAGTAGCAAGGCTGCCCTTTGCAAGAAAGGGTCAAACCAGTCTGGTTTTAGATATGGATGGTAAAATGTTACCTTGGTTAATTATTAGTCTATCTGGGTTCTCCAGTTACTCATTGAGATTACTAATGATTGGGTGTTTACTCTTCTGGATGCCTATGACATCTGCCATCTTGAGTCTTAGGTAGCTTTCAGTCCTGGGAGGATTTCTTCAGCAAGAGAATCATACAGGCCTGTTTTATGTTTTTATTCTCTTGATGAAGAAACTCTCTAGCAATAGTGAATATAGCACTGCTTAGCTTTTTGGAAAGAGCATTGTCTTGGATGCAGTTTGTGTCCTGACCATTTGCTTATTTTGGCAAATTTTGACTCCTCTGAGTTCCTGATATGCTTTTATTCATATAGGAGCAAAATACCCCCCAAAAGGGGGACAGTGTGTCATAAGGAAAGGTGAAAATGAGGGGCTGGGAAGAGAGTAGGAACTGCCTGTTTGCTGGTACCATGCACTGAACTGCTCGTGAGTTCTGGTATGGCATGTAGTTAGTTTTTTGTTGTTGGGAAGCTGAGACTTAGTATATATGTAGAGTAGTATCAACACCCTGAACGTGGCATACTAACCTGTATCTTAGTGTCATAATTGTGATGGATGTGCTTATTATGCTTTATTCTGTCTGGTTTGAGCTGTCTCTGGATGTTTATTCTGTCTTTATGCAAGTACCAGGGGCCCCTGGTGGTCTAGTGGTTAGGGTGCAGGACTCTCACC